TGTCTGTATGTAGGTAGGCAGGTAGGTAGGTAGGTAGGTAGGTAGGTAGGTGGGCAGGTAGGTAGGTAGGTGTGTAATTAGGTATGGAGGTACGTATGTGGGCATCTAAACCCAGTGGCTCCGATAAGTTAAAAACAGTAGTTATAGTTAAAAATAAACTATTTCGTTGAAATAGTTATAGTTAATTTTAAACTATATAGTTAAAATACAAAGGTTTCAGGAAATAGTTAAAATTCATGTCTGAGAGCGCTTTGGCGCCCAACTGCTCCCAAAGTGGCTTGCATGCTGTTGGCGTGCATGCAGTGAATGGCACATCCTATATACCTTCGTTGCATACAGGAAGCTGGCCATGTCGAGTGCGGAATGCGTTTGACTTTGCAAGTTTTGGGGCTCAAGACTTCAGAGGTGCTGTGTGCCTGGACCGTTTCTGTATAGAAGAGGTGCATAGCATCTACGGTCCACCGCTTCGTTGTGTGAAGGTTGCAGGATGCTGCTGCAGGCGGCTCAGAAACGTGCACGTGTGAGCTGCTCTCCTTTGCTGTCGGTTGCAGGGCTTCAGAAGGCTTTCACGGCCAGCTTGGAAAGCGTTCAGCACGACTTGCCTGTGTTCTTGCAGAGCTACGAGAAGTCAACGTTCAAGACAAGCGCGACTGCTGTACTCCCAGAGTGGAAGCAGCACGAAGCTTTCTGGGCAGGGCTTCTGGAAGTTTTGCCAGATGCCATGCTGCCAACAGTTAAAGCGAGGGCTGCGCTAGAAGCTTGTCACGCCCAGCAAGCACTTGCTTCCGACAAGTACTTGGCCACCACTCCTCTGACAGTGCTTTTGGACCGGACCATGTCCTGTTGCCGTGTGCAGTTGTCCAAGTTTCGAGAGCTTGCGACGGACGGGACTCTCTACGCAAGCGTCTCCCGACGATGTACCGTAGACGAACTTGCGACACTCAACCGTCTCTTAGCTCTGACAACTCGAAACTTGAGCAACACAGGCAAGCAGACTGCCACGCAGCAGGCGCCGAGAGCTGAGTGCCAAGCTTTGCCAGACCTTGTGGTTGAACCGGAGGAGGCACTTCCAGCTGTCCAGTCCCTGGTGCTTTTCGAGCCGCAAGCTACACGGCAGAGCTTGTCCTCTTCTTCCTCTGCTAGCGGGAGATTCAAGAGATTCGTCTGTGTTGATGAACTCTTTGGAGGATGTGAGGCGCGTCAGGAGACCAGCAAGGAGGCGGAGACTGGAATGAAGTCTTTCGTTTCAGGAAAAGACCGGCAAGCTCTCGAGTCCGCCTTGCTAGTTGTGCCTGCCTCTTCTTCGGAGAAGAAGCTCTTGAAAAAACAGAAAAAAGCTAGAGGAAAAGAACTGGCGAAACTTGCTGCAGCTCCAGCGAAGACAGCAGCAAAGGCTCAGGCCAAGACTGCCGCCAAAGCCCAGGCGAAGGCAAAAGCAGGGAAGAGTCCCTCCACTGCGCCGAAGTCCGACAAGAACAAAGCCGAAGCGACGCGGAAAACGTTGAAGACAAAGCAGGAGGAGCAACGTTTGAGGAAGAACTTTGCCTCTCGCCGCTACCACGAGGTCGGACAGCTTTTTCTCGAGCGGTTCTTGCAAATACTTGCCCACTTTCTAGCAGGCGAAGAGGACTGCGATTGCTAAGGGAAAGTCAGAGGCGCAGGGCTACATCGCGGCCCGCGTGGCCCACCGAAAGGCTTTGCAGGAGTGGGACAGGAGCCCCTCGATCGCCCACTGAAGGAGGCGGCGTCTTGTCAGAAGTTTTTTCTCCTGGCATGTGCTGCAGGAGTTTTTTTCCCCAGGGTTTGCTTTTCTAGCAACATTGCCAGGCGATTCGATGTCCCCATGATCCGAATTGACTCGCCGAGCTCCTTGGTTCGGATGTTACTTGCAAGATGTGCAGGGAGGCAAAATCCAGATCTGCAGCTCTTTTCCTTGCACTCCGCAGCCTTGGAGTCTCGATGCTTCATGTGTCTGCTTGCGACTCTATTGTTCAAGTGAGGGTTCCGCCGTTTACTGTCTGCCTCACTCGCCCTTGTGTTGCCTGGTCGCAATGCAGCCCTTGCAAGTGGTGCTCGACACCACGGCCTCTGACGACGAGTTGACAAGCTTTCTTTCACGTCTCAGTGTTTCGCTACAGAGACGCCTTCTGCGCATCCTGAACTACTTGGAAGATCAGAGGACCGGCGGCCGCTGTCAGTGTCGATGCTCTAATCCACAATGTTCCCGTCTATGCGGTCGTCGACTACGAGTGCCGGTTGACAATCACATCAACCACGCTTGCAAAAGATGCCACCGTGAGGGGTGGTAAATGCAGAGAGACTGCACGACGGGCAGGGCGTACAGAAAAACTATTGTCCGTTGTTGGCCTGTAGCTNNTTCCTTGCTTTTTCTTGCAACTCTTCGCTTTTCGTTCTGTACCTCGTCTTCGGCTCAAAAAGGCAAGTGCAGTAACTCCTGGCATGGCTTCCATGGCTTGGGAGCATGCGCGCGTGTTATGGCTGGGTAACCTGCCACCGACGCTTCCCAAGACTGCCTTGCTTTCCGAGCTGCCCTCTTTGCTGGGCTTGCTCGATGCTTCGGTTCGACACCGGGGCTCGCAGCAGAGTTCCGCCGGCTTCCTTCTCTTTGCTAGCAGAGAGCAGCGGGATGCTGCTGTGACCTTCCTCCGGGCTTTGGGCTGGGACGCTCGAGCACACGCGTGTGGGCAGCCTGCCCAGACAACTGTGCCTCCCCCTG